TCTTAGAGTATTAGGATTGACCTTTACCCTGTAGTCAAGAAACCTAATAGGTCTTCTTGATTTAACATAATTGGATGATAATTTAGCAGAAAAATTACAAATATCCTTAAATCCATTGTGAAACATGTCATTCCTAACTCAAGTATGCTAATCACAGAGACAGCTGTAAAATTCACGCAGCAAAAAGGAATCCAGTGTACTGACAGCTTCATCCTATAAGATCCTGATGGCATATCTGCTTATTCAGTCCCTTCTTTCAGGGATTCTCAAGGAATAAAAGGCCTTGAGATCCTCTCCGCTGGCTATTTCTTTCAAGGAGACATGACCTGTAGTGAAGGAATAAGAGGAACATAACAGTGGAATTGTGATTTTTTTTTTTTTAATAGGGCAATGGGGGAAAGTGAGACTGGAGTTTAGCTCTTGGGTAAATTTGGTGAAACTAAACCTTACCTTCCTACTGCTTTCTGTACCTATATTCTTGTTTCTTGCCAACGAAGAGAAGCTGTTCTAAGATCTTTGGGATCCTTTGAGCTGGAAGGAGGTTCTAAGTTAGGAAAAAGTACTAATTTATTTAAAAAAAAAAAAAAAAAAGAACAAACAAAAAAATCTCCCTCAAACGTCTAGGCATGAACTTATAGGGCCTTATGAATCATCAAAGAGACTGTTGGCAGTATCCCCTTTATCAGCAACCTCTTGGCAATGTAACTTTTGTATATATATAAAATAAATAGCTGAATTTGTTTTAGAAATACTAAGAGCGACTTCAGGGAGCCTTCTGTTTAGTGGTATGAAGCAAACAAACCTCTTTTGTCTTTTTTCTTTTGGCACTGTTCTGTCTTCCTTATCCTGAACTGCATAACTCACTAAGATATTACCTGTTTGTCATTAGCCATTCTTTTAGTCCTCAACCCAGAGTTAAGTCTGTCAGAACATCATTAAGATCAGTTAACCATGAGTTCAGTTGCCTTTGCAAGGCATGTCTGTTGCTAGTAAAGGCAGCAGGCCCCTCGTAAGAATGCTGCCCTGTCATTCCCAGAGTGTGTGATATGCTAATTCTTAAGAATGTTGCTAACACTGCACTATGTTTCATATAATCCAATTTAGAACTTTTCATTCAATTGGTTGAAGGCTTCAAATTGACAGTAATAATTGTCTTTAAAGTTGTTGTCTCAGTAAAGCAGTGATAGAATTCATATGACAGGCCACTGTTGCTCATTCAAGTTCAAGAAGAGATCTCTACAGGCTACAGCGGCTGAAAATAAAAGGAAAGTAGGTGAAGGGGAGGAAGGCAGCAAATCACGCTGCCATGTGTGTACCTATGCAACAATCATGCATATTCTTCACATGTACCCCAAAACCTAAAATGCAATTAAAAAAAAAAGAAATAGTCAACATTTTCCTTCTTTCAACATACGAACTAAAAGGCAAATTCCAGACCATATAACAAGGATATCTCAAAGTTAGTCAGATACTAATACTTATCATCGACCCACTTCCTCTTTTTTATTTTTGAGATGGGGTCTCAAAAAATAAAATAAAATAAAAGGAAAGTAGCCTAGATGTTCATTTTTTAATAGTATATCTTTCCTCTGTATGTTGGGTGAAAACAGATCTCTGTCATTAAATGAGGATATAAATATTTATGTCATCATTGTTGAAATCCCAAAGAATAGACCTTACACTTACACATTTCTGTGTTCATTTTCAGTGGTCATCTTTTGTGTCCAAGTTAAATTTAAAAAGCTCCCCCATGACTCTAAAGGGCTCACCATAGCTAGTTAGCTTTCTTTCTTGATCTCCTTTTACTCTTGCCTCTTCTGGAAAGTCCTAGATAGTTCGCTGAGAACATAATCAGAGTCATACTTGGCCATACACTGTTAAAGAAAATGTGTATCCTAGAAGTCTACATAGTCTTTGTAGATATAAATTAAACTTATAAATTTCTTGCTATAATATGAGCAGAAAGTGTTACTGTTTTAGACAAGTAGCTGTTCTATGTTTCAGTGCAGAACACAATTTTGGTCAAATCAAGGTAGTGGTAAGAGAATGTCAGAACTTTACAATAGCTAGGAGTCCCTACTCTTCATTGTAGTCATTTGTTGAATATTTTGAAAAGGTTAAAACTGCTCATTGTTTTATTATCTGTGGTAAACAGCATGAATTAGATATACTTTGAGTATAAAGTGCTCACTGAAATGGGGTCCTTTCATATATTTTTCAGATAATATGATATTTTTGCAAATAATCTCTTCCTAGATCAAACTGTAGCTGGCTTCTTGAGAACTGTTCAGCAAAATCGAATCCAAAATAAAGAACTAACATTTTTTGAGATTTTATGTGTCAGCATTATGCTAAAGCTTTCTACATGTAATATTTTATTTCATCCTTAAAATAACTTGATGAGTAAGATACTGTTATCAGTCCCATTTTATAGATGAGTATGGTGCTATTATTAATGCCATTTCCAGATGAAGAAACTGGGATGAAGTTAAATATAACTTCTTCAAGGTCACACAACTAATAAGTGATAGCAGATTTGAACACCAGTTTTTGTGATTCCAGAGCCCATATTTTCAGCCACTACATGCCACAGTCAAAGCACTGCATGGATAGGCATTTGCCTTCGTATATTTTGCTTGATGTGCCTCTTTGCTCCAGCCTCCAACAAGGCTATGGGTCTCAGCGATCCCCCTTTTGCTGGAGGCAGATAAGAGTGTTACCCGTCCTTAGCAAAGAGAACGAATGACCTTAAAAACGGGATTATTCACAAGAGGAGTGTCAATAGTTCGTTTGGGCTGCTATAACAAAATACTATAAACTAGGTAGCCTATGAACAACAGCAGTATATTTCTTTCAGTTCTAAAGACTGTTGGCACCAACAGATGCAGTGTCTGATGAGGGCCTCCTTCCCCATGGATGATACCTTTTTGTTGTGTCCTCACATGGTAGAAGGGGCAAACCAGTTCTCTGGGGTCTCTTTTAAAAGGGTATTAATCCCATTCATGAGGGTTCTGCCTGCTCTTATGACTTAATCACCTCCCAGAAACCTCCTAATACCATCACCTTAGGAAATAGGGATTTCAACCTATGAATTTGGGGGAACATAAACATTCAGACCACAGCTTGGAGATAGCCTTGAAAATGGGTTTCTGAAATAATCAGTAACAACCGTATTAATTCCTGTTGAACTGTGCTAGTTTGTACTGATTCTTTACAAATGTATAGCGCTAACTTACATATGATTTTTACATATAAAACATTTTCTTGCTGGAAAGTTGGTGCAATGTGCTTTTTTAGAGGCCTAAAGTCTTCATGGAATGGCAGGGCTCTCTTGATTGATTAAACTGGCCATACTTAAATGATTTTTTTTTTAAATGTAGATTCCAAAATGGTTGAACTAATTTACATTCCCACCAATAGTGTACAAAGGTTCCCTTTCCTCCACATCCTCACCAACGCTTGTTATTGTCTTTTTGGTAATAGCCATTCTAATAGGTATGAGATGATAACTCATTGCAGTTTTAATTTGCATTTCTGTCGTGATTAAAGAGCATTTTTTTCATTTATCTGTTTGACCATTAGTATCTCTTCTTTTGAGAAATATCTGTTCAGATCCTTTGCCCATTTTTAATTGTTATTTGAGTTCCTTATTATAGATATTAGCCTTTGTCGGGTATATGGCTTGCAAATATTTTTTTCTAATTCATGGATTATCTCTTCACTGTTTTGTTTTCTTTGCCATACAGAACCTTTTATTTTGATGCAATTCCATTTGTCTATTTTTGCTTTTGCTTCCTGTGCTTTTAGAGTTCTAAGAAATTGCTGACCAGACCACTATCATGAAGCTTTTCCCCTATTTTCTTCCTATAGTTGTATAGTTTCAGATCTTAAAGTCTTATAACCGTTTTGAGTTTATTTTTGTATATAGTATAAGAGTTCAATTTCATTCCTCTGCAGATGAGTATCCAGTTTTCCCAACACTATTTATTGAAGAAATGAGCCTTTTTGCATTGTGTTTCAGCACCTTTGTCAAAAATCAATTGACCATAAATATTTGGGTTTATTTCTGGGCTTTCAGTCCTGTTCCATTGTTTGTTTTTATGTTAGTACCATACTGTTTTGATCACAGTGGCTTTATAATATATTTTCATAATATATTTTCAAATTAAGTGAGTCTGGTGCCTCCAGCTTTGTTCTTTTTGCTCAAGATTGCTTTGGCTGTTTAGGTTTTTTTGTGAATTCATACATATGTTAGGATTGTTTTTTCTATTTCTGTGAAAAGTTACACTGGAATTTTGATAGGGATCGTATTGGAACTGTAGATTGCTTTGGATAGTGATATGGTTAGGCTTTGTGTCCCCACCCAAATCTCATCTTTAATTGTAATCCCCATAATCCCCACATGTCAAGGGAGAGACAACGTGGATGTAATTGAATCATAGGGGTGGTTTCCCCCATGCTGTTCTAATGATAGTGAGTTCTCACAAGATGTGATGGTTTTATTAGAGGCTCTTCACTTGGCACTTCTCCTTCCTGCCACCTTGTGAAAAAGGTGGCTTGCTACCCCTTCTCCTTCCGTCAGGATTATAGGTTTCCTGAGGCCTCCCCACTCATGCTAAACTGTGAGTCAATTAAACCTCTTTCCTTTATAAATTTACCCAGTCTCAGGCAGTTCTTTATAGCAGTGTGAAAATGGACTAATATAGATAGTGTGGACATTTTAATAATATTAGTTCTTCCAATCCATGAACATGGTACATCTTTTTTATTTATTTGTCTTTTTAATATCTTTTATCAGTATTTTATAAGTTTTCAGTGTATGGATTTTCACCTCCTTGGTTAAATTTCCTGCTGTTTTATTTTTTGATGCTATTGTAAATGGGATTGTTTCCTTAATTTCCTTTTTGGATCATTTGTTGTTAGTGTTGGGAAACACTTGATTTTTGTACATTGATTTTGTAACCTGCAACTTTACTGAATTTATTTATTAGTTCTGACAGTTACATAAGCCAGTCACAGAAAGACAAATACTGTATGGTCTCACTTACATGGGATATCTAAAAACGTTGATCTTGTAGAAACAGAGTAGAAAGGTGATAACCAGTGTCTGCTGGGGTGGGGAGATGGTGTGGGAGGGGATGGGGAAAAGGGAGATGTTGACGAAAGGTACAAAGTTTCCATTAAACTGTAGAAATAAGTTTTAGTGGTCTGTGGTACTGCATGGTGACCACAGTTAATAATAATATATATTTCAATATTGCTAAAATAATTGATTTTTAATGTTCTGAATACAAAAGAAGGATAAATTGGTGAGGTAATGGATATGTTAATTAGCTTGATGTAATCTTTCTGCAATGTATACAGATATAAAAACACCACATGGAGCCCCATGTTTGTGTAAAGATACATACACAATTACTAATTTTCAATTAAAACAAAACAAACATGTAGGTTTCATAAAGTAGGATGTCATATAAGTAATGAGTAAACACTAGGATCTGATCTTGGCCATTTTATTAACAGTATTACCTATGAGAATTTCTTTTAATCTCTTTTAGTCTATTTCCTCTGTAAAATGAAAGTTTGAGTATTTTCCAAACTCTGAAAGATTACTAGAGATGATTTTAGGTGGTATATGAGATTACTTTAGGCAGTGCCTTGATAAAACATTAAAATAAACATTGAATCACATAGTGAGAAATTACTCCTTTTTCATCTTTCTGATTACATCAAAAAGAAAGTCTCAGTTTGGTATCAAGAGATCTTTAATAATTCTCGAACACTGGATAATTGGTTGTGGGGGAAGATGAGGGTGAGAGTGAACAGATACTATGAATTTTATACCACTCAGGAGTTTCCACATAAGAGTTACACAGACCAATGAAAGTAAGAAGAAAACAAGGTCTCTATAGAAGCGAAATTAATTCCATGCCTTAGAAGGAGAAAGTACAGAAGTGCTTTTTTGCTCTTTCTGTTGACCTCATTTCCCTTGCAGTTGGAACAAAATCAACGTGTTACCCAAATGGCAAGTTGGAGAGGAGGAATCAAACATGAGGCACAGCCCTTTCCGACTTCTCTCATGGTGTGGCCCGTACTCATAAAGTACTTCTCTTCTGCTATGTAGTACGCTTTGGTTGACAAACTGCTTAGGACAGGCTTAGAAAGTCCATGAAGCCATAAATCCAAAGCACAAAATCACATTTGCAATTCATCGTTATTATCAAGCCGATATTTTGATTGCCATTTTATTCCTCTGTTTTTCAGTTGGTTTCAAATTCTTAGGAAATGTAAGAGGAAAAGCAATTATTACTCTTTAAAACCTCAGTAATAATCTACCTTTTTAACAGAAATCCAGTTTGGGCTTAGAGCTTTCCATAAGCAATATTATTCATACAGAATTTAATAACATGGTTTTGTTTTCAGTGGATTTATATTTATGGTTAACATCTATAAAAGAAATTCATTTAAGTTTTAAAAAATGAATTGGCTTTTAAAATATTAAATAATACATATATTACATGTATATGATAAAAATCATAAGGTAATACACAATTGGCTAAAATTCAGAAAATACTGAATGAGATTATTTGAGGTTTTTTAGATTAAAATTTTTTTGCATGTATATTGAATAGAATATAAAAAGTTGTATGGTAAACCAGTGGGGGAAAAAAAGGGCTTTCTAACATAGCATGTACTGTATTATTTTCTTATATTTTGAAATATCTTGTTAATGAGGAAGTTAAGCTTTTATTCGATGCCAGTTTTCTTATTTATAAGTGTAAATATCTTTTTCTTAATAGCTTACTAGACAGAATATATCTTTTTGGTAGGATATTTGTTGGTGATGATGACTTTTTTATTCATATATTTTTCTGCTGTATACCCTTTCTAGCACAGTGTTCAGTACATGGTATTTGTTTCAGCTCGTTTTGCATTGCTATAAAGTAATACTCAAGGCTGAGTAATTTATAAAGAAAAGAGATTTATTTGGCATATGGCTCTGCAGGTTGTATAAGAAGCATGGTGCCAGCATCTGCCTCTGGTGAGGGCTTCAGAAAGCTTCCACTCATGGCAGATGGTGAAGGGAGTGGGGACAGACATCACATGGCAAGAGAGGAAGGAAGAGAGAGGGGTGAGGAAGTTGCTGGGCTCTTTTTAACAATTAGTTCTGCTGAGAACTCACTTGTTACCACTAGAAGAGCACCGAGTTTTACATATCAGAGGGAGAGAATATTAATTAGAGGTTATTAACCAAACTGACTTTCTAATAACCATGTAGTTGGCTTGATTGACTATATTCCCAGATCATTTAATTTATTTTGAAACATTTTGCATATATACAGGAGAACAGAATTTGAAGACTATGTTTCATTCTGGTGAATATATTTTAAACATAGCCTAGGTTTATTCTTGACAAGTCCATTATTTCCTTAATGGTACAGTGATTTTTATTCTAATGCATTACGATCAGAGACATCTTAACTGGAGTTATTTTGTATGTTCAGGTTAATGTTTTTTGTTATCAAAAATTTAACTCAGTAAAATAAGCTAGGGGTGCTGGCTATTACATTTTGGGTTATACTTATCATTGCATAATAAAGGTAATAGAACACCAGTAACATTATTGATATACAGAAATTTAATTCTGAAAGTAATCATAATCTGTAAAAATTAGCATCTGGTCTCTGAACTTTAGAATTCAAGGTAAACAAGCAACACACATTCTATTATCATATTTGAAAATAGAGGATATTTTTTAGTTTTTGAAAAAAATTTGTGGGTACATAGTAGGTGTATATATGGGGTACATGAGATATTTTGATACAGGCATACAATGCATAATAATCACATCAGGGTAAATGGGGTATCACCTCAAGCATTTATCCTTTATGTTTCAAACAATTCAATTGTATGCTTTTACTTATTTTAAAATGTACAATTAAATTATCATTGACTAGTCACCCTGCTGTGTTGTGCATTACTAGGTCTTATTTTTTCTATTTTTGTACCCATTAACCATCCCCTCCTTACCCCCCACCTCCCACTACCTTTTCCAGCCTCTGGTCACTATCATTCTATGCTCTATCTCCATGAGTTCAATTGTATTAATTTTTAGCTCCCACAAATAAGTGAGAACAAAGCAAGTGTGTCTTTCTGTGCTTGGCTTATTTCATTTAACACAGTGACCTCCAGTTCTATCTGTGTTGTTGCAAATAACAAGATCTCATTCTTTTTTATGACTGAATAGTACTCCATTGTGTATATGTACCATATTTTCTTTGTTCATATGGACATGTAGGTTGCTTTCAAATCTTGGCTATTGTGAACAGTGTTACAGTAAATATGGGAGTGCAGGTATCTCTTCAATGTAGTGTTTTCCTTTCTTTGGGGTATATACCCAGAAGTGGGATTGCTGGATCATATGGTAGCTCAATTTTTAGTTTTTTTTGAGGAATGTCCATCTACTGTTCTCCCTAGTGGTTGTGCTAATTTACATTCCCATCAACACTGTGTGAGGGTTCCCTTTTCTGCCCATTCTCACCAGCATTTGTTATTGCCTGCCTTTTGGATAATAACCATTTTATCTGGGGTTAAATGATATTTCGTTACAGTTTTTAAAATTTGCATTTCTCTGATGATCATTGATGAAGAGTACCTCTTCATATACCTGTTTGCCATTTGTATGTCTTATTTTGAGAAACCTCTGTTCAGATCTTTTGCCCATTTTTTATTAGATTATTAATTTTTTCCCGTAGAGTTGTTTGAGCTTCTTTTATATTCTGGTTATTTGTCCCTTGTCAGATGGGTAGTGTGCAAATATTTTCTCCCATCCTGTGGGTTGTTTTTGCATTTTGTTGATTGTTTTCTTTGCTATGCAGACTTGAACAGTCCCATTTGTCCATTTTTGCTTTGGTTGCCTTTGTTTATGGGATATTACTCAAGAAATCTTTACCCATTCCAATATCCTGGAGAGTTTCCCAATATTTGCTTTTAGTAGTTTCATAGTTTGAGGTCTTAAATTTAAGTCTTTAATTCATTTTGATTTGTTTTGCATATATGGTGAGAGATTGGGGTCTAGTTTCATTCCTGAGCATATGGATATCCAGTTTTCCCAGCACCATTTATTGAAGAGACTTTACTTTCCCCAGCGTACGTTCTTTGCATCTGTGCTAAAAATGAGTTCACTGTCAATGTATAAATTTGTTTCTGGGCTCTCTATTTCATTCCATTGGTCTATGTGTCTGTTTTTATGCTAGTACCATTCTGTTTTGGCTACTATAGCTGCATAGTATAATTTGAAGTCAGGTAATGTGATTCCTGTGGTTTTGTGCTTTTTGCTTAGGACAGCTTTGGTTATCCTGTGTTTTTTGTGGTTCCATATACATTTTATTTATTTATTTATTTAGTAGACATGGAGTCTTATTATCTTTGCATGGTTTGTCTCAAACCCCTGGCCTCAAGCCATCCTCCCGCTTTGGCCTTCCAAAGTGTTGGGACTATAGATGTGACCTGCCACATCCTCATATAAGTTATAAGATTTTTTTTTTCTATTTCTGTGGAAAAAGTCATTGGTATTTTCATAGGGATTGCTTTAAATCTATAGATTGCTTTGGATAGTATGGGCATTTTAACAATATTGATTCTTCCAATCTGTGAACATGAAATACCTTTCCATTTTTTGGTGTTCTCTTCAATTTCTTTCATCAGTGTTTTATAGTTTTAATTGTAGAGATCTTTCACATCTTTGGTTAAGGTAATTCCTAGGTATTTAACTTTATTTGTAACTATTGTAAATTGGATTACTTTTTGGATTTCTTTTTCAGATTGTTCACTGTTGACATATAGAAATGCTACTGATTTTTGCATGTTGATTTTGTATCCTGCAACTTTACTGAATTTATCAGTTCTAATAGTTTTTTTGGTAGAATCTTTAGGTTTTTCCAAATATAGTGTCATATTATGTGCAAACAAGGATAATTTGATTTCTTTCTTTCTAGTTTGGACACACTTTATTTCCTTCTCTTGTCTGATTGCTCTAGCTAGAATTTCCAGTACTATGTTGAATAACGGCAGTGACAATGTGCATCTTTGTTGTGTTCCAGATCTTAGAGAAATAGTTTTCAGTTTTTCCCCACTCTATGATATTAGCTGTGGGTCTATGGCATATGGCTTTTATTATGTTGAGACATGTTCCTTTTATACTCAGTTTAACTTTTTAAGGGTTTTTATCATGAAGTGATGTTGAATTTTATCAAATGCTTTTTCTGCATCAATTGAAATGATCACGTGGATTTTGTTCTTCATTCTGTTAATATGATGTGTCTCATTGATTGATTTGCATATGCTCAACCATCCTTGCATCTCTGGGATCAGTATCACTTGGTCATGAATCATTGTTTCAATTTCATTTATTTCTGCTCTGATCTTTATTAATTCTTCCCTTTTACTAATTTTGGGTTTGGTTTGCTCTTAGTTCTTTAAGATACATTATTAGGTCATTTATTTGAAGATTTTCTACTTTTTTCATGTAGGCACTTACTGCTATAAATTTCTCTGTTAGTACTGCTTTCACTGTATCTCATACGTTTTGGTATGTTGTGTTTCTATTATCATTTGTTTCAAGAAATTTTTAATTTCCTTCTTAATTTCTTTGTTGATCCACTGGTCTTTAAGGAGCATATTGTTTAATTTCCATGTGTTTGTATAGTTTTCAAAATTCCTCTTGTAATTGATTTCTTGTTTTATTTCATTGTGGTCTGAGAAGATACCTGAGGCTGGGTTCAGGGGCACATACCTCTGGTGCTAGCTACTCTGGAGGCTGAGGTGGGAGGATCGCTTGAGCCTGGAAGGCAGAGGCTGCAGTAAGCTGAGGTCATACCACTACACTCCAGCCTGGGCAAGAGTGAGACCCTGTCTCAAAAAAAAAAAAAAGAAAGAAAGAAAAAAAAAAAAAACCTTGATATCATTTCAATTTTGTGAATGTGACATTATTTTAATGTTTCATAGTTGTTTTGTGACCTAATATATTGTCAGTTCTTGTCGTACTATCCATGTGCTGAGGAAAAGAATGTGTATTCTGAAACCATTGGGTAAAATGTTCTATAAGCATTTATTAGGTCCATTTGGTCTACAATGCAGAGTAAGTCTGATGTTCCTTTGTTGATTTTCTGTCTGTCCAATCCTGAAAGTGGAGTGTTGAAATCTCCAGCTATTACTGTATTGGGGTCTACCTCTCTCGTTAGCTGTAATAATATTTGCTTTATGTATCTGGGTGCTCCAATGTTGAATGCATATATATTTACAATTATCTCCTCTTGATGAATTGATCCCTTTATCATTATATAATGACCTTCTTTGACCCTTTTTATAGTTTTTGTCTTGAAATCTATTTTGTCTATTATAGGCATAGCCACTCCAGCTCTTTTTTGGTTTTCATTGGCATGAAATACCCTTTTCCATCCCTTTATTTTTAGTCTGTGTATGTCTTTATACTTGAAGTATGTTTCTTGTATGAAACAGATCATTGCATCTTGTGTTTCTTATCCATTCAGCCACTCTGTGTCTTTGTATTGGAGAATTTAGTTTGTTTCCATTCAGTGTTACTATTGATAAGTAAGGTCTTACTCCTGCCATTTTGTTATTTGTTTTCTGGCTGTTTTGTGGTCTTCTCTTCTCTCTTTTCTTCCTTTCTACCTTCCTTTTAGTGAAGGTGATTTTCTCTGGTGGTATGTTTTAATTTCTTGCTTTTTATTTTTTTGTGTGTATTCATTACATTTTTTTGATTTGAGGTTATCATGAGGCTTGCAAATAACTTATAGCCTGTTATTTTAAACTGATGACAACTTGACACTAATTGCACCAACAAACAAGCAATGAAAAAGAAATCTATTCTGTACTTTAATTTTGTCCCCCTCACACACACTTTTTTAACTTTTTGTTATTTCTATTTATATCTTATGGTACGAAGTATGTCTTGAAAAGTTGTTGTACTTATTTTTGATTGGTTCATCTTTTAGTCTTTTACTTAAGATATGAATAGCTTACATATCACAATTACAGTTTTATAATATTAAGCGGTTTTTTTGTGTACTTAGTATTACCAGTGAGTTTTGTACCTTCAGATCATCTTTTTATTGCTCATTAACATCTTTTTCTTTCAAATTGAAGAACTCCATTTAGCATTTCTTGTAGAACAGGTCTGATGTTGATGAAATCTCTCAGCTTTTGTATGTCTGGGAAAGTCTTTATTTCTTATTTAGGTTTGAAGGATATTTTCACTGGAGATACTATTCTAGGGTAAAAGTTTTTTTCCCTCAGTACTTTTTGTCATACCACTCTCTTCTGGCCTATAATGTTTCCATTGAAAAGTCTGCTGTCAGACATATTGGAGCTCCATGGTATGTTATTTATTTATTTTTCTTTTCTTTTCTTTTTTTTTTTTTTTTTTTTTTTTGAGATGGAGTTTTGCTCCTTTTGCCCAGGCTGGAGTGCAGTGGCACAATTTCAACTCACTGCAACCTCCGCCTCCTGGGTTCAAGCAATTTTCCTGCCTCAGCCTCTTAAGCTGGGACTACCGGCAACCACCACCACACCTGGCTACTTTTCGTATTTTTAGTAGAGAAGGGGTTTCACCACGTTGGCCAAGCTGGTCTTGAACTCCTGACCTTAGGTGATCCACCTGACCTTAGGTGATCCATGTTGGCCTCCCAACATGCTGGGATTACAAGCGTGAGCCACTGCACCTATCCTGTTTTTTTCTTTTGCCTTTAGGATCCTTTCTTTATCCTTGACCTTTGTAGGTTTGATTATTACATGCCTCGAATGGTAGTCTTCTTTGGGTTAAATCAGGTTGATGTGTAACTTTCTTATACTTATATATTGATATCTTTGTCTAGAATTGGGACATTCTCTTTTGTTATCCCTTTGAATAAACATTCTGTTCCTGTCTCTCTCTGCCTGCTCCTTAAGGCCAACAACTGTTAGATTTGCCCTTTTGAGACTATTATCTAGATCTTATAGGCATGCTTCATTATTTTTTATTCTTTTTTCTTTTGTCTCTCTTGACAGTATATTTTCAAATAGCCTGTCTTTAAGCTTACCAATTTTTTAATCTACTTGATGACTTCTGTTAAGAGACTCAGTATGTCAGTTGCATTTTTCAGCTCCAGAATTTTTGCTTGATTCCTTTTAATATTTCAACCTCTTTGTTAAATTTATCTCATAGGATTCTGAATTCCTTGTGTTATCTTGAACTTCTTTGCATTTCCTCAAAATAGATCTTTTGAATTCTCTGCCTGAAAGGTCACATATATGTATGTCTTCAGGATTTGGTTCCTGGTGCCTTATTTAGTTTGTTTTTCAAGGTCATGTTTTCCTTGATTGTCTTGATGCTTGTGGCTGTTCATTGTGTCTGGGCATTGAAAAGTTAGGTATTTATTGTAGTCTTCACAATCTGGCCTTTTTTTATACCTGTCTTGGGAATGCTTTCCAGATATTTGAAGGGAACTGGGTGTTGTGATCCAGTTTTGGTCATTGCAGCCATATCTACATTAGGGGACACCCCAAGCCCAGTAATGCTGTTGTTCTTGCAGGCTTGCAGAGGTACAACCTTGGTGGTCTTGAATAAGGTTTAGAAGAATTATCTGGATTACCAGGCAGAGACTGTTGTTCTCTTCCCTTAATTTGTCCCAAACAATTAGATTCTCTGATTCCATGCTCCAAGCTGCTTGTAGCTAGAGGGGCCGGTGACACAAGCTGTTCTGTGGCTACCACCACTGGAACTGCACTAGGTCAGACCTGAAACCAGCACTGGATCTCACCCAGGGCCCACTGTAACCACTACCTGGCCACCTCCTGTGTTGGCTCAGAGTCCTAGGGCTCTACAGTGAGCAGGTGGCAAAAACAGTCAGGCTTCCGTCCATCCCTCCAGAACAGAGATGCTATCTGGGAGCCAGCATCTGGAGTTGGAAACCTTAGAACCCTACCTGGTACTCTGTTCTCCTATAGCTGAGCTGGCACCCAAACCACAGAGAAAGTGCTTCCCACATTTCACTTTTCTTTCCGTAGGCAAAACTGTTTCTCCCTATGGCCACTACCACTACAGGCCCACAGGGATTATTGCCAGGCTACTGCTCATGTTCACTTAAGGCCCAAGGACTCTTCACTCAGCTTGTGGTGAATGCTGCCATACCTTGGACTCGCCCTTCAGGGCATTGAGCTCCCCTCTGGGCCAGGCAGGTTCAGGAATGCCATACAAGAACCAAGCCCTGGAATCAGGGCCCCCAAGTGCCCGCTTGGTGCTCTGTTCTACTGTGTCTGAGCTGGTATCCAAGTTGCAAGACAAAGTTCTCTTTTCTTTTCCCTTTCCTCTGCTCAAGTAGAAGGAAGAGGTCTCTTGGAGCTGTGAACTGCGCTGCCTTAGATTAGGGAAAGGATGGCATAAGGGCATAAGCACTGCCTTAGGCACCTCAGCTGGTGTCTCATTAGGTTACATGCCCCCCTCAAAGTCCAGTAGCTCTTGAGCCCAGCAAAGCATTAAGACTTGCCTAGAAATTGCAGTTCTTGTGGCCTAGACTACCTTTCGGGATTTTTTAGGGCCCCAGGACACTTTAGCCTATAGTGATGAGACTTGCTGAAACTCAGGCTCTGACCGCTGGGATGGACATTTCCCCTCTGGCTAAGGCACATCTAAATTCTCCCTCCATGGGCATTGGCTGAGTTCTTTGCCAATAGCCTGGGTGTTGCTTGCCAATTGGCCTAGTGTTGCTTTCTGCTATAACCTGGCAACACTGAGTTCCAGTGGAAAGTCCCACAGTCACTGTGCTCTCCCTCCCCCAAGCATACAGATTCTTTACACCACACAGCCACTGCATCGGGGGTGGAGAAGGGGCGACATAGGCAATTCAAGACTGTCTTTCTTACTCTCTTCAGTGCCTCTTTCAGCAATATGAAGTTAAAATCGGGTATTGTGATCACTCACCTGATTTTTGGTTCTTGTGAAGGTGCTTTTTTATGTAGTTAGTTGTTAAATTTGGTTTTCCTTTGGTGTGGCAGCAATTGGTTGAGCCTTCTAATCAGCCGTCTTGCTTCATCTCCCTCCAATAAGTTTATTCGGGGCCAAAAATAAAAAGACTTTAGAATTATCTAATTTTTTTCTTTAAAAGATATAGATGATTGTCTTATAATCTTCAGATTTGTGCTCTGTAATGCAAGAGCAATTTGCTATAATGAAAAGCTAGAAGTTTTGAGATCACTTTGTTGTCTAATTCTAAAACAACAATAACAGAAAAACAGAACTTTGCTAGCTGGCTATGTCTACTTTCATTCTTTGATTAGATACTTTGAGTTCTGGATACCATGAGGTGTTGCCATGACAGCATGTTATGATAGAAATTTTTAGAAAAGACCAGAGACTTGAGAGGTAGACCAACCTGCATGTAAAATTCAGCTCCATCACTTTCGCTCTGGTATTTTGGGCAAGCTATTTAACTTCCTTTGTAAAGTGAAGATTATACTTCTTTAGAGTTGCTATGAGGATGAAAGCACTCAGAGTGAGTTCTTGTTAAATGGTAGATGTATAAGGAATACTGTGTAGTAATGACTATATGTTTTGATATTGTCAGGTGAAGTGAAGGACAAAAATGTTCAAGTGGTCGAGCTTCCCATTGTAGACAGTCTTCATCCCCGTCCTCCGTATTTACCTTTGGCTGTACCAGAAGACCTCGCAGATCGACTTGTACGAGTACATGGTGACCCTGCAGTGTGGTGGGTGTCTCAGTTTGTCAAATACTTGATCCGCCCACAGCCTTGGCTAGAAAAGGAAATAGAAGAAGCCACCAAGAAGCTTGGCTTCAAACATCCAGTTATTGGGTAAGAACCTGATTTTTTTCCTCCAACTGTGATATGTAGTAGTAGGGTTATGTATCTTTACAATATATTGTTAATTTTACAATATATAGTTTAATTTTTATAGCCCCACCAAAGAACGGAGGTTCTAGAGTTATCCTAAGGGCACAGGGAGACTATTCATTTTTTTTGTTTACTTAGAACAGCTGAGAAAATTGCTTAGTAGTGTTCTATTACTGTCTCCAGTGCTCCTCTTCCTTTGGTTCTTTCTTCTCTTACCACGGCTCTCTTTTGACTTTTGTTGTTGTTGTTTTTGAGATAGGGTCTCACTCTGTTACCCAGGCTGAAGTATAGTGGCTCACTGCAGCCTCGACCTTCCTAGGCCCAAGTGATCCTCCTGCCTCAGCCTCCCAAGTATAATAGCTGGGTTGATAGGCATGTACCACCATGTCCAGCTTCTTTTTATTTTTATTTTCATATTTCCCACCTCCCCATCTTTCCTTATGTCTTAGTCTTCATATGTAGCAAAGTTATTGACCCCATTCTAAGTGTTAGAGCTAAAGGAAGGTACATGTGAAATCAGAATATCAAATCACATTTCTTCTCATGTAACTTTTGATTGAAATTCAGTGGAATCATTTGTTCTGCCCCACTTCATCTCTATAGAGCACACTGAACAACTCCCATTTCCCCAGAGAAAGGGTGATTATGAAGGATGCGGGAAGGAAAAGGTGATCGAATTAGATGTTCATATGATTGTATCCACATCTGGATTATAGTCTGAAATACAAAGCAAAGAATAGCCATGAAGATGGCAGAGTAACAGTAGGGAAATCAAACCCTCACTCCAGATTCATAATAAAAAACTGGCCTTAGACTTGGTCTAAGGCATACCCATATGCTGTAACCTAAAGGTACACAAATCTACCTTTTTCTGTTTCTACATATGAATAGTGATTTAGCAGTCTGGGGGGAGGGGAAGGCAAGATTTAAGGAGGATCTTTTAATTTATGAAAATAAACTTTTTATTTCCATTAATACTACTTTGGGGCCAGGCACTGTGGCTCATGCCTGTAATTGCAACACTTTGGGAGGCTGAGGCAGATGAATCACTTGAGCCCAGGAGTTTGAGAAAACTCAACCTAGGCAACATGGTTGAAACCCCATCAATACAAAAAAAAAAAAAATGCAAAAATTAGCCAGGCATGGTGGCACATGCCTGTAGTCCCAGCTGTTCAGGATGCTGAGGTAGGAGGATCACTTGAGCCTGGTAGGCAGAGATTGAAGTGAGCCATAATCGTGCCATTGCACTCCAGCCTGTGCAACAGAGCAAGACCTTGTCTTAAAAAAATTACTTTGGAAGCACTAAGATGAGAGGAGAATGGTCAGTGCATTATTCCACGCAGTACAGTGTGAATTGGTGTCCGCAATTTTACAATTTTGGGCTTTTCTTAAATATGACAGATGAAATCAGTATCTGCTCACATTTGATATGGTGAAAAACAGAGAAAGGAAATTCATTATGCCCACAACAGAAGGGCTGGAATTGGCTCCATTTACCTAAAAAAGTAAAAGCCCTTAAAGGTTTGCCTGTCTTAATGGTGCGGTAAAAGTTTATCCAGGTCTGTGTTTTCCTTGAACAACTTTAAGTTCTGCTAGCTGGCAGTTAAAGTGACTCTACAGGGTAAAATAAAGAGAAAAACCCTTGGCATCAGAACTTTACAAATAATATCTTTAATGTTCTTTAGTAACAACTATGAATCCTGGCATCATCCTGGTAACAAAAATCTTGTTATATTCAGTTTTTTTCCAGACAGCTGGTTGCTGCCTAGCATGAAATGCCACTCTGAAATCTCCCATTTATTCCTAAGATGTGAATTATTTTCTCTGTAAGAAAGCATTCTTCAAAGGCTTTGCTTATTTTCTAATTCCCATTATATTGTTTAGCCTGCAAATATTTTTAGAATATGTATTTTTGAGTTTTTAAAATGCTGTGTGTTTTACTTTTTCTAATGGTGAAAATGAAAGAAAAATAAGTTTAAAATACCTATAATGCCACCACAAGTAGGAGTATAAATTGAGTACCCCCAAAGCACTCAGTGGATCAGTACATTATCAGCAGAATCTGAATTTCTCCCCCAGAGTCCATGTCAGACGCACAGACAAAGTGGGAACAGAAGCTGCCTTCCATCCCATTGAAGAGTACATGGTGCATGTTGAAGAACATTTTCAGCTTCTTGCACGCAGAATGCAAGTGGACAAAAAAAGAGTGTATCTGGCTACAGATGACCCTTCTTTATTAAAGGAGGCAAAAACAAAGTAAGTTAGACCAACTAATGATTCTGGAGTGGGGTTGTCTCTTTCAGTTTAAAAGAATTCTTACTTCCCACGACTTGTGATTTTTTTATATTATTATTGCTAATTATTAGGGTTTTAAAAATTAAAGTGACTTTGTACTTGTATAACTGTCAATCTAGTAAATGCATTTTTATTAGCCATATCCAAGAATACCTTATAAGAAGTGTAAAGTGAACTGGACCACTGACATGCATTGTCACCAGCAATAATCATGATCGTCATTAAAAATATCACCCTACTTCTTGGTACCAAAATTTTCATTAGTCTGTTGGAGCTGCCATAAAGAAATAACAGACTGAGTGGCTTAAATTACAGAAATGTATTTCTCCCAGTTCTGAGGCTGGGAAGTTCAAGATCAAGGTGCTGGCAAGATAGATTTCATTTTCTCTTGGCTTGTAAGCAGCCACTATTTCACTGTGTGCTCTTGTGACCTCTTCGTGTATACAGAGAACAGGACAGTAAGTGTTCTGATGGCTCTACATATAAGGACACTAATCTTATGAGGGCCCCACTCTCATGACCTCATCTAGGCCAAGTTATTTCTCAGTGGTCCCATTTCCAAACATATCACATTGGGGTTAGGGATTCAACATAGGAATTTGTGGGGACATAAACAGTCAATCGATACTACTAGCCAGCTATACAGAGTGTTAGCAATAAAACCAGGTACTTACCATTTTGATTTCACTATCTTCACTAAGAGTTATAGGCAACTGAACACATATGTAAAGTTTTGCCTTATAATAATTTCTGGAATTTGAAAGCTACACTAAAGAAAGGTAAGGAATCAAAAAGTTAAGTTTTGTAAGTGGAGGACTAAAGACTACTAGTGTGTATTGGACAGTAACAATCATTTTGTGAGCTTACCTATACTTCAGGCATTGTGCTGGGTGCTGGGGATTTCATGATAAGCAAGATACTCCCTGCTGTCAAGGAATTCCCAAATGTAGTAGGGGAATAAACAGTTACACTACAGTGTATCAGTATTCTAGGGCTAACATGGGATATCATGAAAACACATAGATAAAGCACAAATCCTAACTGGACACTTCTTATAGGATCTGGGTAAACCTGGAGTTGTTCTTTATTTACTGTCAATAAAGGAAGGACGTATTAAATGTATGTGAAAGTAGGAAATTAAGGAGAAGAAAATTCTAGTCTTAGTTCTGCTTAGATGCTATGTCCTCCAGAAGTCATCCCTGAACCCTTGACTGGCTTGTGTTCCCTACTCTATGCAGTCCTCTATTGTAGTCTTTAGCACCTGCTTACTTCTGTCTCCTTCATTAGATTGTAAGCACTTGGACATAATATGTAGCTGTAGATAAATGCCCAGTAAATCTTAACTGATGTTGATTTCAATCCCATCAGTTTGGAAACATTAACAGTTAATCATTTAAGCTTTTTAGCTGTTTAATTAATGTATTTATTGTTCCACATATTTCAAATGGGGGTGAGGAAAAGAAATTTCAAAGTGAGGACTATGGTACAGGTATTAATCTAACTCATTAGTTAACAATTTAAATCCTCTTTCTACCTCTGAGTACTCCAAACTAACCTGAAGCAAATTGCCTTTTTTATTCAAGGCTTCCTCTCTTGAGCATGTATACACACTAGCATACATATGCGCACTCACACACACACAGATATGTATATATGTAAACAAAGGGCAAATAATCAGCCAAGTAATAATGATTTAATGTAAGAGGGGTTAAATGAACATTTGGATACAGAACACAATAAAAAATTCATAGCTTACCATGTTTCTTCAATTTAAAACACCAGACTTAATTTGTAGCTTGGTTGAAGTAAAAGATACTACTTTTGTCTACTCTTTGATTTGTTCTTGAATGCATCACAAACTTTTTCCCTTATTTTCTTGATGAGCAAATTAATTCATGCTTGTTTAAAAATACAGAAGTTGGTAAATACTGTATTAGTTCATTTTCATGCTGTTGATAAAGTCATACCCCAGACTGGGCAATTTACAAAAGAAAGAGGTTTAATGGACTTACAGTTACATATCTCTGGAGAGGCCTCACAATCATGGTGGAAGGTGAAAGGCATGTCTCACATGGTGGCAAACAAGAAAAGAGAGCTTGTGCAGGGAAACTCCCATTTTTAAATCCATTTGCTCTTGTGAGACTTATTCACTATCACAAGAACAGCATGGGAAAGACTTGCCCCCGTGATTCAGTAACCTCCCACAGGGTCCCTCCCACAGCTCATGGGAATTCAAGATGAGATTTGGGTGGAGACACAGCCAAACCATATCATTCCTCCCTCCCAAATCTCATGTCCTCACATTTCAAAACCAGTCATACTTTCCCAGCAGTCCCCCTAAGTCTTAACTCATTTAAGCATTAACTCAAAAGCCCACAGTCCAAAGTCTCATACAAGACAAGGCAAGTCCCTTCTGCCTATGAGCCTATAAAATCAGAAGTAAGTTAGTTACTTCCTGGATACAGTAGGGATACAGGCATGGATAAGTACAGCCATTCCAAATGGGATAAATTGGCCAAAACAAAGGGGCTACAGGCCCCATGAAAGTCCGAAATCCAGTGGGGCAGTCAAATCTTAAAGCTTCAAAATGATCTCCTTTGACTCCATGTCTCACATCCAGGTTACACTGATGCAAGAGGTGGGCTCCCACAGCCTTGGGTAGCTCCACCTTTATTGTTTTGCAGGGTATAGCCCCGCCTGTCCCCCCGCCAGCTGCTTTTACTGGCTGGCATTGAGTGTCTGTGGCTTTTCCAGGTACATGGTGCAAGCTGTTGGTGGATCTACCATTCTGGGGTCTGTAGAACAATGGCCCTCTTCTAACAGCTCCACTTGGTGGTGCCCCAGTAGGGACTCTATGTGGGAGCTCCAACCCCACATTTGTCTTCTGCACTGCCCTAGCAGAGGTTTCCATGAGAACCTCATTCCTGCAGCAAACTTCTGCCTGGGCATCCAGGTGTTTTTATATATCCTCTGAAATCCAGGCAGAGGTTCCTAAACCTCAGTTCCTGACTTACGTGCATCCGCAGGCCCAACACCATATGGAAGCTGCCAAGGCTTAGGGCTTCCACCCTCTGAAGCAACAGCCTGAGCTCTACTTAGCCCCTTTTTGTCATGGCTGGAGTGCCTGGAACAGAGGCCACAGCAGAGGGACTCTGGCCCCTGCCTACAAAACCATTTTTTCCTCCTAAACCTCCAGGTCTGTGATGGGAGGGGCTGCCACAAAATCTCTGACATGCACTAGAGACATTTTTCCCATTGTGTTGGTGATTAACATTCAATTCCTGGTGACTTATGCAAATTTCTGCAGTTGGCTTGAATTTCTTCTCAGAAAATGGGATTTTCTTTTCCATCACATTGTCAAGCTGCAAATTTTCCAAACTTTTATGCTCTGCTCCCCTTATAAAACTGAGTGCCTTTAGCAGCACCCAAGTCATCTCTTGAAAGCTTTGCTGCATAGAAGAAGTTTCTTCTGCCAGATACCCTAAGTCATCTCTCTCAAGTTTAAAGTTCCACAAATCTCTAGTGCAGGGACAAAGTGCTGCCAGTCTGTTTGCTAAAACATAAGAGTCACCTTTGCTCCAGTTTGCAGCAAGCTCTGAGACCACCTCAACCTGGATTTCATTGTTCATATTGCTATCAGCATTTTGGGCAAAGCCATTTAACAAGTCTCTAGGAAGTTCCAAACTTACCCACATTTTCCTTCTTCCTCTGAGCCCTCCAAACTGTTCCATCCTCTGCCTATTACGCAATTCCAAAGTCACTTCTACATTTTCAGGTATCTTTTCAGCAGCACTCCACTTCTGGTACCAATTTACTGTATTAGTCCATTTTCCCACTGCTAATAAAGACTTACTCGAGACTGGACAATTTACAAAAGAAAGAGGTTTAATGGACTTACAGTTCCACATAGCTGGGGAGGCCTCACAATCATGGTGGAAGGCGAGAGGCATGACTCACATGGTGGCAGACAAGAGAAGAGCTCTTACGCAGGGAAACGCCTGTTTTTAAAACCATTGAATCTTGTGAGACCTATTCACTATCACAACAACAGCACAGGAGAGGTTTGGAAACACAGCCAAACCATATCATTTCCCTAGCAAGGAAAAAGTATTATCCTTAATCCCATGTATGTAGTGTCGTTTTTTAATACAGCCGTGTACCATATAACATTTCAGCCAGTGTTGAAACACCTGTGTAATGGTGGTTCCATAGATTATAATACTGTACTTCTGTACTTTTTCTATGTTTAGATACACAAATACTTACCATTGTGTTACAACTACCTTCACTATTCAATACAATAACATGCTGTACAGGTTTGTAGCCTAGGAGCAGTAAGTCATTCCATATAGCCTGGGTGGGTATATATGTGTAACCTAGGTATGGTGTAGTTGGCTGTGCCATCCAGGTTCTTTTAAATACACTCTATGATGTTTGCATGGAAATAACATTGCCTAATGATGTATTTCTCAGAACATATCCTCTTTGTTAAGTGGAGCATGACTGTAGTTGATTGAATTCTATATAATTTAAACCCTTTTCACTTAATATAGCAATAGATCCATTCCCTTGGGTTGCTAAAACAGTCATTGTAAACATCTTTTTTTTTTCTGCTTTGTCACCCAGGCTGGAATGCGGTGGTGCAAGCATGGCTCACTGCAGCCTCAACCTCCTGGGCCCAAGAGATCCTCCTTCCTCAGCTTCCCAAGTAGCTGGGACCATTGGCATGCATCATCATGCCTGGCTGCCTTTTGGGGGTAGAGATGGGATCGCATGCTGTTCAGGCTGGTCTCGAACTCCTTGGCTCAAGCAGTCCCTCCCGCCTGTCCTCCAAAATGCTGGGATTACTGATGTGAGCCACCATGCCCAGCCTAAACATCTTTTTTAATGACTACATACATATATACTGTATGGATATGCCATTGCTTATTTGACCAACTGTTCTCCTAATATTAGACAGATTATTTCCAATGTCTCATTCTTATAAGCAATGCTTTGATGTATGCCTAATTATCCACATTATTTCCTTAAGCCAGCTTTCTAGAGTTGAAAGTATTTAGATGCAAGGATATGAACTATTTTTTTTTTTTTAGACAGTGTCTAGGCTAGAGTGCAGTGGCAGGATCTCAGCTCATTGCAGCCTTGACCTCCTGGGTTCAATGATCCTTCCACCTCAGCCACCTGAGTAGCTGGGACTACAGGCTCATGCCACCACACCCAGCTAGATATAAACATTTTATAGCTTTGATCCATAGCAGAGCATGACAGTTTTATACCAACAACCCTTGTAGTACAGTTGGCAGTATGTACTTGGACTGCAGGAATAGTAAAACTAGAATTTCCTCCTTGTAGCCAACAGCTATAACTCCCCTCCCAGTGGTAGTCCAAGCAGCAATTTCCTCTATATTCTGTTATAAATATAGTAGTAGCCTTTTTTCTCTTTGTAAATTGTTTTATTTTTATTTTCGACTTGAGTCATTTCTCAGGGATTTAAATGCTGGGTTTTTTGTTTTTTGTTTTTTTTTCTTTTTTCTTTTACTTAAATGTTTTTCCACTCTGATTTAACTCTGCTTTAAACCACTCAGGACTGGTGTTGATACCTAAGCAAATCATAATACCTCTGCCATTGTTTTAGGAGACCAAAAGCATGAATTAATCTCTTAAGAAAGTATATAGTGTCCAAGGTAGTCATTATAAGACTTTTCTGCTTCAAGAGAGTGAAGAGATGAAGAATTAAATGATGTATAGTGTTCACACAGTCAGAGAAGAATCCATTTTCTGGGTTGCTCATTCTTTGAAAAGAGGTTAAAATTCGCTTTATACACATAGCTTCTACGTGAAGATGATCAGTTAACGCTTTGTGGCTTGGTTATTACACTTCAGTCTTCTCCATGTTAAGATTTAGTTCATCCATAAGATTTTACCACCAGCATCACAGTGACTGTGGCAGTCATTGCTATTGTGGCAGTCTTTTAAGTAGTCCAGTATTATAGTGTTTGAGTCACAAAATCATTGACAGTCAAAGAAATAAGAACCATTAAAGCTGGCTATCCAATATTGTATTCTAAGATTGTGGAGATTAGGGATGGGGTTAAAATAGGAAGAAAAACAAGTCTTCAAAAGTCTCCCAGGTAAAATATTTACATATTGAGTTTATTTTTTATTTTTAAAATGCTGTACTTCTACTGTACTTTTTCAATGTTTAGATACACAAATACTTACCATTGTGTTACAACTTGTTAAAAGTTTTAATTTGTTAAAAGTTTTTGTGAAGTATTTGGTTGCCCTGTGAAACGAAGAATCAGCAATGAGTGGTATATTTGTTCACTGTTTTACTGAACCCCTATAATATGCTGGACACAGCACAGAGCACTAGGAATACAAAGTCAAAAGATAATATGTGGCTCCTTGTCTCAGGGAGTAACCAATGGGTAGACAATATACATGTAACACATAGTTACAATATAGTTAGATAAGCCTCCTGGAGTCTACGTATCAGGTACAATGAAGTCACAAAGAGGAATAAGTATCTCCTTCAGTCAAGAGAAGGACTTCAGAAAAGAACACCAGATAATAGTTTATAACTGCAAGCTAGTCCTTTGTTGATGATATAAAAATAAATTTTTATGAGGTGGAAAAAGAAAAAAAATTATTATTCCTAGTATCTGTAACCTCAAGGTAGAAGAATTCCTCCACTGACATACTTGAGGGCAAAAGACAAGAAGCATGTTTGTGCAAAAAGTTTCATGCTCATTATGAAAGGTATAAAATTTCCTTCTTCCATTATTCACTTTGTTTTGTTTGTGTATGTTTTGTTTTGTTTTGTTTTACATTTAGGTATCCTTTATAGAGCCATAGAGATAGGCCCAAGGGAACTCTTTTGCACATAGAGAAGGGCCTGAGGAACTTAGGTACCTTTTAAAAAAAAAAAATAGTGGTGGAGTTTTGCTATGTTGTCCAGGCTGGTCCTTGAACTCCTGAGTTCAAGCAATCTGCCTGCCTCAGCCTCCCAAAGTGCTGGAATTATAGGTGTGAGCCACCGCACCCAGCCTTAGGTACCCTTTTGATTTGGTTCCAGAGAGGGCTGTTTTATTTAAGAAGGCCGCTAATGTTAGTGTTACTTCTTGGTAAATTTATCACTCCTTTCTTTGTTTCACTGAGCATCCAAATCATGCTGACAAAGTTAGTCTTTATTCAAGGATAAAACCTATACTGGTTTGATCAGTTCCCCCTTTCTATCACCTTCCAGCATTTCATATTTCTTTGTTGCTGTTTCTGCTCCATGCCTGGGTATGCAGCTTCACAAGAATCACATTTAAACTATTTCTGGTTGTTTTCTTTTCAGAACAAATGTGACATTTTCTTCATCTCCTTGACTTTGAGCTGAAGAGGGCAAACTGTCAAAAATAATGAGGCCAAATGGATTTGAACACTGAATAGCAGTCTGAAACAGTGCTCAGAGACTTTGCCTTTATAGTCATTATTACAGAGGCAATGAGGGAAAGCTCCTTGGTGGCCATGAAATGAAGAGAAACTGAATCAGCTCTTAGGGGATTAGGAAAAGTTCCAGGCATAGGTAGCACTCACTTGTTCAAGTATTTATTCACATAGCATTGTGTTGAGTGCTAGATGCTGTGATCCAAAGAAAAATAAGTCACGGTCCTAACCTCTTTTGGAATACTGTTTGGAAGACAGACATGTAAACCGACTCCTAATGGTTCAAGGTTTCTATATAGGCACTATTATCCTTTCAGCAAATATTTATTCGTCCTCTATTATGTTCCATATTCTCTTCTGGGTGTATAATGCAGAATAAATGCCTCCTTTTCAAGGACTTATATTCCCATTAGGGATAATGCAAGTGGAGAATGGAAGCAGGCAGTACACAAACAGTAAATATATATTATATCAAGTAATAAAAGCTATGGAGAAAAATGTGGCTGATAAAAGGGATATGGATTGCTGCACTCCTCACCAATAAGGCGATATTTGAGCAGAGATCTAAAGAAGTAAGGAATAAAACCAGGTAGACATCTAAGGGGAAAGAATGCTTTATAATGATGGCTAGTATTTATTGAGCATTTACTATACCAGGTACTCTTCTAAGTGCTTTACATCACTTAATGTATTAATTCTTATGAACTTCTATAAGGTAGGTAAAATTATTGTTCTTTCATGTAACTTCCCAAGTTTTATAGCTTATCTCTGAATATCTAGCTCATATACTGAAAAATGATTGCATCTATACTAGAGTACAATTAAACCTTGAATTCAGAGTAGAATCATTTGAACATATGATAGACTTTTAAAAGATATCCTGGATGAATACTTTTAAACACATTCTATCTCTAGCAAGACTGCCAAAATATTACTTGGACATCTATAAGGAATGTGCTTCCATAAATTTATTAGAATGGGCTTTCTATTACTGTTATTAGGTAAAAGTAGATGGTTCTTTAAGAAGGATACAGGTTAAGGGAGACTGTTCTCACAAATTTTTAGAATATTCATCTCTTAACTTCTTTGTCTTATTAACTTGTAATGTCAATGAAGAAGACATTTACAAAGTCTAACCCAAATCTGAATTATCAAAAATTCTAAATTAAAAATTTTAATGTGGTTTTATCATGGTATTTATATTCTAAAGGAAAAGCCCAGTGACCAAATATGAAAGCAGTTTGAATAAACTCTTAGAAGTCACTCATTACAAAAAGAAAAAGGAGACATCAATTTTCAACTATTTCATGAATTGATAAAGGACATTTTGATGTGCGTATGTGTGTCTTATATGATATGCCAATAAAGTTTAATATACAGGGCATTTCAGAGTGGTTTCTGCCCCATTGATGGACTTCTAAGATGCCTCATCAACTACACTATTAAATGCTGTAATTAAAGGTCTCTTTTCTGTTAGAAAGCTCTTAGTCAAAGTAGCAAGTGTACCTTCTGATAGGATACTGTGTTTTCTGTGACTATCTATAAATTAATTTCTTTTTCAGGTACCCCAATTATGAATTTATTAGTGATAACTCTATTTCTTGGTCAGCTGGACTGCACAATCGATACACAGAAAATTCACTTCGTGGAGTGATCCTGGATATACATTTTCTCTCTCAGGCAGATTTCCTTGTGTGTACTTTTTCATCCCAGGTAAGGCAGACTTCCTTGTGTGTACTTTTTCATCCCAGGTAATACCATCTCAGTAGGGTATTTTAAAATAACCAGTACTTTTTGGTTGTATAGGAGTCAAAAAAAAATTTGTATGTCTATGTGTTTTTAATGTTCATTATTGTGACTCACGTGCAATTTTTCTGATACTCAGTAGTGATCCCTTTTGTGAAAGAATGAAAATAGCCATTCAAGTGCACCGAATATTTAGTTGTTTGCAAGCAGTGGCTGACTACATCTCCACTGAACCCAGTTACTGGAGTTGTTTAAAGTACCTGGCTTGTTCACAGCATTTAACAGAAACAAGTAATTAAGCTTACTTAATACTTTCTAATTTTGCATATAGTCAATATGTAACCAGAATCCATCCATTTCTACACAAGTGCACTGATACTGAGAGGCTTAAATGCCCTAAATTTTGCCTCAGTTAATTGCTTTACAGAAAGGAGTGTAAATGTAATTCCCTTTCAAGTTCTATTACATTTCTACCAAATGAGAAACTGTATGTTAAATTCAAGCAATACAATATCACAATTATTCTTTGAATTTAATTGTTGCAGATGATTGTATTTTATGGGTTTGGTGTTTGTGTTTTTATGAGTGGTCCAATCAGCTTTATATGCCGTGTGGAATATCAGTATAACAATATTTATTGTGGATTTTATTCTGTTCTCTTATTTATGCACATATTATTGATTAGTTCATTCAACCAGCTGCTAAATATGCTCAAAATTATACTAGATGCAGAGGAGATTTCAAAGGAGATTGAAGTTACAGTTCTTGCCCTGGTCCAGAATCTAATAAGCAAAGTACACACATGAAATAACTAGAGAATAATTACCAGAACTTATAAATTGGTTTAAGATAAATGTATGCTTAAATGCTGAGAAGAAGCAGAGAAAAGAAAAAAAAAAAAAGCCACATCATTTTCATGAGCGTATACTTCAGAGAGTAAAAGGAATGGATACTTTCTTATTACATGACAATATATGTTGTAATGATACAATTTTTGGAAAGATACCTATCCAGGCAAAGGTTACAAATTCCTTCAATATGGAATAAGAATACAGCTTACTACCCAAAGGTAGCTGCACAGAACACATAGCAGCAATCTTAATCAGAAGGGAAAATTTCTTCAGGTTCCCATGAAGGCATCTACTATTGATGTTTCTCCCTAATTGGAGTGCAGATGCTATCTTTAAGAAACTCTCATTTCCATTCTTATTGGAAGAAAGGGGCAAGGTTTATAAATACTTGGTTCCTTCCAACTGTTTTTGAGAATCTATGTACCTGCCTGATCAACAGATATATGTAACTGGTAACAACCTCCAAATATTCTTGATGCTTATTATTAGAATGAGTGAATGAAGAGTCACTTTCCCAAGTATGCCACCTTTTCTGTAGGCCTGGATTTTAGGCCTGCCTGAAGTCAACTCCTCTAGTCCAGGTTTCTCAACCAAGGCATTATTTTCGGCCAGATAATTCTTTGTTGTGAGGAGCCATATTGTGCACTATAGGATATTTAGCAGCATCCCTGGCCAGTAAGACCCTCACTTCAAGTTGTGACAACCAAAAATGTCTTCAGACATTGCCAGATATCCCCTGTGGGGCAAAATTGCCCTGGTCAAAAACCACTGTTCTAGTCATAAGACTCTAAAATTAAATAAATATATACATGTCTGAATGTTGACCAACCTCACATGTAGGTCGGCACTGAGACTTACAGGATTGTACTCATATTTTGCTTTTCTTCTCCCAACCCACCTTAGTAATAGGCTCATTCTGGAATAGAAAGAAATTTTTTTTCTTTACTCTTTTTTTTTTTTCCTTTTTGAAGTTATACTTTAGAATTTTGGCTCCTCATAACTCCTTTTAACCTAGAAATCAGGATCTCTGTCACTTCATGATGGTAGAATTCTGTCCAGGAGAAGAATATTGTTCTACTACTTTGTTTGGGTTTATGCATAATGTTGACCTCAGTGTGTTCAGACCTTGGGTCCAGAGAAGCAATTCATATGAAGAAAGAATGGTGCTGAGAAGACTTTTTCTGCCCAAAGGACTAAGGCTCATATTTATATATCAGATTGTTCCTAAAAGCTCTTGGCAGTCAAAGTTCACCCAAAATCATTTCACTCATTTGAACCTAAGCAAAACTCAAGCAATATTTCATAACCCAAAATAGACTTGAATATCTCAAAATATTTTATATTAGGGTTCAGAATAAAAGTTTAACAATAAAAATACCTCACATTTATATAGTGAGTAGCAGTTTGCCTAATGTGATTACCTCCATTATCATGTACCTTATTGGATGACTAACAGCTATAGCGTTTGAAATTGTAGAATAACTTCACATTCAGTGATAACTCTTTGGACTTACTTGTACCTCAGTATTTTTTTCAAATGTTTTAGTAAAGAAGTATTTAGTAAAGTTTAATGTTTTTGCAGTGTGAGTGAAATTGATTGCAGGATTATTATATAGCTTCTCTTACCATAAACCAAAATTGGAATTGTTTAAAAATGCCTAGAAATATGTTGTCATCAATGCCAACAGAGCATGAGAAAAAGTCACTGATGGGATAAAATGCCAAACCGTTGACCACAGATCACAGAACAAGAAAGAGGCAACCTGTGCTGTGGAGTCAGGCTATCTGTATTTGAGTCCAACTTTGACCATTTAGTGGCTGTGTGACCTTGAAAAAATTATTTAGCCTATCTCTTAACGGTTTATTTTTCTACATGTGAAAAAATAATAGTACCTATAGTATAGAGTTTTTGTGAGGATTAAGAAGTTATAAAAAGTAAGGCACTATGAGTAGTACCTAGCAATATAGCATTAAACACATTCGCTGCTATTATTATATATATATGGATAGGTAAAGGAATGTCTCTGCTTGTTAGAGAGACTCTATAGTATTTATTTTGCAGCTCTTTTTCACATGACTTCATTTCAGACTATATACTCTCACATTTATGAAACAAGCTATTCAAAGACTTCATTAGCTCTGCTTAGGTTTATAAATAAGATGAACAGCTAACATTCAGCATGTACATTTCTCTGGGCCAGTGTACCACCTCAACTTCATTTTGTTTAGCTTATAGAAAGAGAATATTGCCATATGATGTGATTTTTCAGAAACAAAGTTCTTCATTCCCAAAAGGTGAGTGAAGTCCTAGTATTTCTATGGCAAATGCAAGTAAATGTGTGTGTGTTGACTTTAGGGAAATTAATCTTCAGACTTTCGTATATATGTCATAGGCATTCTAGAAAATAGAGGAAGACTAAAGCCATACATCCAGAAGAGTGACAAAAGATAAACATTGAGAATAAGTTCAGCCCAGAATAAAAACATGGATAACCAGCTCTCAACTTTCTTTGATGATAATCTCATGTGCCAAGAGATGTTAGGAAGTGATACAAGTTTAATATCTCCTTCATAACTCTTTGACAGTCTTTAAGTTTTATTCATGTAAGCTTTCTGTCTCCTATACACTATCCTTTGAGTAATGTTATACCATATAACAATAGTGAGAACGAGTTGACCTGTTGACCATGATCTATTGTAGACAGTACTGCAGGAGTGAAATGCCATGCTAGAAGGAGAAATGCAAGGCTGGACGTTGGAAAAACTGCAGGCAAAAATGTCATGGCACCTTATTCAGGATTTCTCATAAGTTTTTAGACCCATCTTCCTCAGTCTTAGGTCTTCTAATCTTTCTTGGTTTTATATCCATAAGTGAGGTCTGGGAATTCTCTCTTCTTAAAAGATAAGTTTTTAAAAGCCAACACTGTGGCTCTACTCTCTAATTTTGTTACTATTATTGCTCTTAGCTTTCTGAATTCCTTCATTGGATCTGTTTCTCAAAGCCAAGTTTGTCCTAAAAGCTTCATAAATTGAATAGCACAGTCCTCAGGATTTAATATGAAAATTGGAGGCAATATTAGCATTTCTTCAGTTGCATCAAGTGAATTTTGAAAGCTATGCAATCACATTCTAAAACATTCTACCAAATACATTAACCCTATTCTGGGTTACTGGAAATGACCTCTGCACAAAGCATCTCCTTTGTCACTTATTTTCTTATTTGAATCTTAAATCTGAAGCAAAGAATTTATAGTTGGAGAATAACAGCAGTTGACAGCCCAGTTGTAGATGGGCACAATATCAGCAAGGTTTTCTGAAAATACTGCTTATCGAGTTCTGGGATCAATTTTTATTTTTCTGAAATCTGACTTATGGAAATGGTTGTAGCTGCTCACTTTAAAGACTTTAACATTGTTAAAGACATTGTTTAAAGAGCAGTCAATGTTACTCAGTAGTTTCAGCCACTGGTTTATGTTTTCTACATGTGAAAAATTAATAGTACCTATAGTATAGAGTTTTTGTGAGGATTAAGGAGTTATAAAAGTCACCGTAGTACAAAATCACCTTTTTCCCCTATAGCACCTCCCTTTATGGCAGTTATTACAATACTCTCATGAGCCTCTCTGAGGTCTAATTCCAAATCCACACACAACTGTACTGCCCTCATGACACTTTGAATCAGAATTTGGAAGCCCAGAGGGCAAAACCGAAAACTATGCTAACTATTCCAGACAGATGGCTCTGGAAAGGAATTTCCATTGAGATTTGGCTCATGAAACAACAGTGGATACCTGTTGAGGGTACTATGGAGAAAGCACAGGGTGAAAACCCACAGTGTGAACTCTGTGACTACTTCCCAGTGTAGAAGACAAGAAAAGTATTTGCGTCCACAAGGACTCCATCTAGCTTACAATGCTGAGTGCTGTACAATGCAGCTGTTTATCACATTCATCCTTCTGGCATTTCTCACAACAAAGAAAAGACCTTGATCTTATTCTCCTTATTGCATAGGAAAACAAAGCAGTTTATAGGAAAAGTGCACAGATCTCTCAGCCACTTCCAACTTCTCACACTAGGAGATCCTCCTTCCATTTCTATCTATTTTGACAAAAATAAGATCCTATCTACCTTGAGAAAGCTTGGGAGGCTTATGTAAACTCAGGCTACTTCTCAGGGATGAAATTCAGACCAATGGACTCCTCCCCTTTTTTAATTTTTTTAAAATATAGTCATACCTGGTTTATCCTTTGGCAGGATTTTTGCTGTTACCCATTACTGTGCACTTTATGATGTACTAAAAATGATACAGTGCCATGTAAATACAGAATAAAGTGAAACATACTACATGTAGCCAGCGACTGCTTTGCAAACCATGGGCTGCTCTCAGTCATGCCACCTATCAGGCATCAAACCTGAGTATGGACATCAGCTGCAGACTTCATTTACCTGCCATGTGATTTGAACTTGTTAACCACATGGTGGTAAGGAAAGGAGAGTAGAAACATAGAGTGACTAAATGCAAACATTAACATTTACACTATAGTCATCTTTTTAGCCTTTTGCAGCAAATTGCCCCATGGTTAATACAGACAGTTTTTAAATTACTTCCTCAGAATGTTATATATGGGTCTTAAGGGTTCAATATCACCCATTGACTTGCATCGCCATTACTGGGCTAGAGCAATATTCATTCTTTTCTTTTGTTTTCTTTGAGATGAAGTCTCACTCTGTCACCCAGGCTGGAGTGCAGTGGCACGATCTTGGCTTGCTGCAACCTCTGTCTTCCAGGTTCAGGCAATTCTCCTGCCTCAGCCTCCTGAGTAGCTGGGATTACAGGTGTGTGCCACCACACCCAGCTAATTTTTGTATTTTTAGTAGAGACAAGGTTTCACCATGTTGGTCAGGCTGGTTTCAAACTCCTGACCTTGTGATCCACCCGCCTCGGCCTCCCAAAGTGCTGGGATTACAGGTGTGAGCCACCACGCCCAGCCATATTCATTCAGCAGATACTTATTGAGCACCAGCTATATGGCAGGCACTATTCAAGGTGTTTATCCTAAGGGAATATATACTCAAGAGTCTGAACGAGTTCTATTTGTGGCTCTGCCATTAACTAGTTCCTTTTTGGTTTTTTTATTTTATTATTTTTGTAAACTATTCTTTCTGTGGCTTAGCTTCTTCATCTGTAAAAAATTAATGGTACTTCACAGATTTGCCCTAATAATTAAATGAGATGAGGTGAGGGAAGAGTACACTATTATAACAGTGCCTAGAATATAATCAGTGCTCATTAAGCTCAGCTGCTATCCTTAACATTTTTCTCATTCTTATGAGAAAAATAAAGGGCCACACCTGTGTGGCACTGATACGCTTACAGAGGCCTAGAGTCACATTTGTCATTTTTATATTGGCCCACCTCAGTGTCTGAAATCTCTACGATTATTATAATAGTTGTTTCTTTGGTTTAAGAAAACAGTTGTGTTATCCACCAAGGCTAACTAACACATGAACAACTCTTGATACCAAAATATACACTATTTATTAGGATTATCCCCAGAAGAAACAGATCCCTACGGGTGTGGGACAAGTGCGATATTGTTTTTACAAGAGTAAGACATTTAAGCATGAAAAGGAGGAAGCACATAAGGGTTCATTGTCACTGTAAAGATTGTGGTCAGCCTAAGAGTAATAGAAGGTCTTGGATTCCTGGCTAGGGAAGAGTGAAGAGTACGTGAAGACATCTAGAAAAGAAGACTCTCAGGTTTACCCAAGGCTGTCTTTGGCCTTATGCTATATCTTTCTGGTGTTACAATATAAACATGGAAAATAAGATTTACAAGAGAAAATATGTATAGTGGTTACACGCATATGCAGACTGCCTGGGTTCCAACCTGAATCTACCACTTAATAGTATAACCTTGAGCAATGCCTTAACTTCCCTTTGACATCTGTAAAATGAACATAATGGTAGATTTTATGAGGATGCTGAAAGTAATCTAATTACATTAGATAATACCGAAAAACAATATCTGACAGTTAGCAAAAGCCCAGTTAATATTATTAGCCTCTATCATTGTTATTGTAGTTTGCTATTATTGCAGCTGCTTTAATTATTTAGTTTCTTATTTTCCTGAGTCCCACTTAATTTTGCTTGCCTTGTATGAGCCTTTGGCTGAATTTGAAGTTCAAAAGTTCCAGATCTTTTTGATCCCTATTTTATTATAGTCTCAGTATTCTACCAATGATCTCAATTGTAAAATGACATTGCCAATATAACCTTTGTTGGTGAATTAATAAATTTGAAAGCAAAGTTTTTATTATTTTAGTTCTGTGTGTAGTTGAAATTCTGTCCCTAGAATTTGCGCAAATCACTTAATCACCTTGTGTTTTAGTTGCCTAACTGCAAAATTAAAAATACTGTCTAAATGTAGTTTTATTTGCAAATTATAGCACTTGAGAATTGCCCCTCAAGTTTTTGAAATTCAGATTCTCTAAGTTGAGAAGATGATTAACCTAATCAGATTTCATTTGATATAGAGTTAAGAATAGGCATCTCCATTTGCATTAGTCTGTTCCTGCATTGCTAAGAAGTACCTGAGACTGGGCAATTTATAAAGAAAAGTGGTTTAACTGGTTTAACTGGCTCATGGTTCTGCAGGCTATACGGGAAGCATGATGCTGGGGAGGTCTAAGGCAACTTACAATCATGGTGGCCAAATGGGGAGCCAGCACTTCACATGGCTGGAGCAGGAGGAAGAGAACGGGAAGTTGCCACATACTTTTAAACAATTGGATCTCATAAGAACTCACTATTGTGACCACAGCATCAAGGGGTGATGGTTTTAAACCATGAGAAACTGTCCCCATGATCCAGTCATCTCCCACCAGACCCCATCTCCAACATAAAAATTACAATTCAACATCAGATTCAGGCGGGTTACACAGATCCAAAGCGTGTCACCATTCAAGTTTTTAACCTTCATAAATGCCAAGATTTTAAAAGACTCCTGGGTAATCCTAAATTGCTCCACTGAGCAGATTAACAACTACTATGAATAGCATCGTTTTAAACAAATGCAAAAGTATTGGTGTAATGACAGTAAAATGTTATTAAACGAGATGACCACAACTGGAGATTTAGGAAAATTTCATCTAAGTTGAGTTCTCTATTCACAATGTATAAATTACTTAAATTTTATCCCTTTATGGTGATAGTTTAGTTTAACTATATTTCCAAGCATTAACCTCAAGTATTGAAGCTCAGAGTTTGGAATTTCACCTGTTATTCAGTGGGCAGAGAAGGTATTCTTTGGACATCAGGATCTTTTAAGTAGCCTTAAAACTCTAGTAATCTGGGTGATGCATTTCCTCAAAGGCTAGCCCAGCGTATGTCATCCAAGCATGCCAGTCTTCTATACAGCACACTTAAAACTTTTTAGAACAGAAATGGCAGATGTGTTTTATTTTAGCTCACTTGCCGGTACTTGTTGATTGTCAGTAATTACATGAGTCTCTCTTGAAAACAGTTCTGACACCAAGTTATAAATTAGCAGACAAGAATGTGTGATTGATTAACAGTGTATGAAGGAAAGAGACCATCAGCATTTGTGTTAAGTTTTTTTTAATCCTAATCCTAAACCTCAGATTCTTTAAAGGCTCATAACTATGTCTTACTCATTTTGGTATCACAGCTACCTAACTTGGACCACTGTGTGTGTAGCTCTTAATAAATGTTTATTAAAATTAATTCATAAATTATTTTGTACTATATAGAGATTTTAATTATAATACTCTTTCATGATTTTTTTTAATTTAAAAAAAGGATCCAAACACAGAGATGAAAAATGACTTGTACCATATTCTGAGAGCACATGGACTGAAAGCTTGTGACTAGAATCCACTGCTTTTCAACCTCTTACTCCTGGAGCCCATCCTGTTGGCCAAGGGCTTTTAGATTGCTGTGAAGGAGGGCTTTTATATACTAACAATTTTTTTTTAATTCTTTTCCAAGGTCTGTCGAGTTGCTTATGAAATCATGCAAACACTGCATCCTGATGCCTCTGCAAACTTCCATTCTTTAGATGACATCTACTATTTTGGGGGCCAGAATGCCCACAACCAAATTGCCATTTATGCTCACCAACCTCGAACTGCAGATGAAATTCCCATGGAGCCTGGTGATATCATTGGTGTGGCTGGAAATCATTGGGATGGCTATTCTAAAGGTGTCAACAGAAAACTGGGAAGGACGGGCCTATATCCCTCCTACAAAGTTCGAGAGAAGATAGAAACGGTCAAGTACCCCACATATCCTGAGGCTGAGAAATAAAGCTCAGATGGAAGAGATAGACAACCAAATTTAGTTCAAACCATTTGAGCCAAACTGTAGATGAAGAGGCCTCTGATTTAACAAAATAAGGTTAAATGAGTAGACATCCTCAGCACGAAGAGCAGCTGGCAACTGACAGAGGCTTCAGTTGGTGGAATTCCTCTTTAACAAGGGCTGCAATGCCCTCAAACCCATGCACAGTACAATAATGTACTCACATATAACATGCAAACAGGTTGTTTTCTACTTTGTCCCTTTCTTTCAATATGTCCCCATAAGACAAACACTGCCATATTGTGTATTTAAGTGACACAGACATTTTGTGTGAGACTTAAAACATGGTGCCTATATCTGAGAGACCTATGTGACCTATTGAGAAGACCTGAACAGCTCCCTACTCTGAGGAAGTTGATTCTTAGTTGGTGGTGGTATTGTGACCACTGAATTCACTCCAGTCAACAGATTCAGAATGAGAATGGACGTTTGTTTTTGTTTTTGTTTTTCCTTTATAAGGTTGTCTGTTTTTGTTTTTGGGTTTTTTTTTTTTTTTTTTTTTTAATAATTGCATCAGTTCATTGACCTCATCATTAATAAGTGAAGAATACATCAGAAAATAAAGTATTCACTCTCCATTAGAAAATTTTGTAAAACAATGCCATGAACAAATTCTTTAGTACTCAATGTTTCTGGACATTCTCTTTGATAACAAAAAATAAATTTAAAAAAGGAATTTTGTAAAGTTTCTGGAATTTTGTATCATTCAATGATATGGTGATCAGCTTTATAGTAGAAGAACTGTGATTAAAAAAAAAAGGAGCTTTTTAGTTTTTCAGCTTTTTTACTTTGTTTTTTTCCTGTTTCTGATGTAGTAACTAATTCTTAACTCAGAGACATTAGTCCATTTTAATACTGAAAACCAATTTTCGTTGGTACATATTACAAAATTGCTAAGGACACTCTTTGGGAGCTTTCATTTTCTTATTTTGTACACTGTTTTAATTGAGTGAAATAATCATACTCCTTGCACCCAGAGAAGCTGTCACCTCCATTTCTAAAACTATTTCAGGTTTGTTTGGTCATCTTTCTTACTGTATTTATTATTGCTTTTTGTGAGTAGGGTCCTGTTTTATCCAGGAACTAGTCTCTGCCCTAGCCTATCATGTCCTCCTTTTGAGAGTACCAGGAATCTTTGGGATTGGGAAGCTGTCTGTTTCTGAAGTATGTGCCTCATAGTATGTAGAACTCGGTGACCAAAGGAGAAGAGGGACCAGTGGGAGACTCCCAATGGATTGAGTCTTGGGATTATCTCTTCCAAATACTTCCATGTTAGATTCACTTCAGAAAATAAGACTTTGATGTTTTGTCTCTGAACATCACTTTTCTCCTCATAAAAACACTCCCTTATTGTATGTAGCCTGCCTCCTACAGATGCCTGGCAGGAGATACATTCTAAAAGAAAAATTTGATCTATGTAGGAACCAGTATCAGGCCTGGTGTTGAATATCAGGGATCCTAGGCAGAAAAGCTATTATTCCTGGCCTTCACATCTTCACCAAATGAAAATGCTGTATATAAAATCTCACCACCAAACTTAACTGAATTCCTTTTCTCAAGTCAAGCCTCCCAAAGAAAAAAGAAATTAACAGCCTACAGTGTCAGCAAGCAATCTCCCATTTAGTTTTGGTTACAAGTAGAAGGTATTTGAAACAGTCTCCAACTGAGCAGAGGTAATTTTGAATATAAGTTATTTTGCAACTCGCATCTCATATGTCATTGGAACATCAGTAACTGTGGATCTGATTGTGTCCTTATAGAAGATCCAAAGGTAAATTTAGTCTCTGCATTCTATGTTGACCTAGTTCTAGGCGTGAAAGGACCAAAGAACAGAAATATGAAGGAAATAAAGAGCGTATCCCAAAGGGAGTTGAAGACTTAAATTTTGAAATTTTATCTTTCAGTTCTAGAATTTCTACTTAATTCTTTATATTTCTACTAAGGTTTCTTATTCACCACAAGCATGTGTTCATTGAACATAGTTATAACTGCTTTAAAATTCTTTTCTGGTAAATTTGACATCTGGATAATCTTAGAATTGGTCTCCATTGTTTATCTTTACAGAATGGTCAGATTTTGGGGGGAGATCCCTCATATATTGAGTGATTGAGATTGTGTCCTGAACATTGTAAATGTTTATGTGTGGATTCTGTTATATTGCTCTGAAAAGTGCTATGAGATACGTATGTATATGTATAGCTGTGTTAGCCGGCATTTAACTTTCTTGGACCCAAATTGTAAACTGTGTCTTGGGCAGCCGCTGAAAATCTCAATTCAGTTCTTTTATCTTTAGCTGGAGTCTATGCTGCACATAGTTCGGGGCTCAGCCAGAGAGATGGATAGAATTTATGTGCAGAATTCATGGTGCTTTTTCTTGGGCTCCTTTTCTTCTGAGATTCCCCCACCTCGCTTTCCAGCAGCTGTGTTTGCTCTGATTCTTAGACCAGAAAGACTGCAGTTTTCTTTCAGCCCAAAAGCTATACAACAGGAAACTAACCTTGTGCCATTCCCTTCTTTAAAATTTCAACCTGTTTTCAAAATTTGCCTCTGTTTTTATTCAGTCTCCTACCCTCATGTGTTTTTTTGTATTTTGTGGAGAGTTTATAGTTGTTATCTGTTGGAATATTGGTTCAGTGGGTGTTTACTCTTCCATTAACTTAAAATGAAAAAACAGCAGGGGAGAGGAGAGGCTTAGTCTTGTGAAGGCCCTGTGTAGACTCTGACCTAGCTAAGTAGCCAGTAGCCTCAAGTAGGAAGATGTAGAAATAAGCAAACTGTTAAACCTGCGCTTGTGAAGGGCTAATGAATATTGTTGACCACATCTTTCTGAATAGCCTTTCAGAGCCACATTTTTTGTAAATCATCATGTACATGATGGTGATTCGTTCTATACATGTTGCCATGTTGAGAAGGCTGACATTTTTCTTACCACTATTGTAATTTCACTATTGTAAGACCCAGGTACTTAAAAACTCTCCTGCATGATTTTGAATTGAGTGGCCACTGCTAGATTGGGATTTGGGTCTTTTCCCTGTTGAAAGACCTATTTCTGGGAGACTTGCCTGGAATCAAATTATTAGCATGGGCTCATTGAATGTGGGTAACAGAATCCTGCTTATTAATGACAAAGCAATTACGAAAGATCTTACCAAGGCTTTCCTAGTTCTTCCACTCAAGTCTGATTTCGTGCTCAGCTGGGCACTTAACGAATTCATGCCTGTTGTGAAAGCCCCTAAGCCAGGGTTTCATTGTACCTAAATGAATAAGAGAGTAGTTGCTTTTCTGTCCCAGCTTTCGTTTGTTGTTGTTGTTGTTGTTGTTGTTATATAGAGCCAATCCTGTTTACTGGATTCCCTGTTAATAAAGTTGTGAAGATGAACAGCCCCAGCTCCTGAGGGAGTTGAGAGTTAAAAGAGAAAACACATTTAAAAAGCTACCTCATACAGTGATTATTGTCATTATTATTTAGTTCTGAGAGAAGACAGTCACTCTACATTCAGCGAGCAGGAAAATGTGTTGGGGTCTAAACGGTGCATGTAGAAGAGTCTCTTCTGCCTCACTGAGAGCAAATCTGTCAAGGGAAAAAGATAATGCTTCATTTGTGCTCCCAGGAGACTGCAGTAGGTTCCATACACCTGTACATCATAGACGTGTGGCTTGAGGATTTGTGAAACTGGGAACTTGGCTATAATACCCTAATTTAAGTCAGATACAGACTGCATGGAATTTTTAAAGTGCACTGCTCAGATAGGAGCACAAAGAATTTTTATCTATACTTACTGGTTCCTAGCACCAGTCTCTCTCATGGACACATGGAAGAGCTGTTCCAGTATCACAGGCCTCGGAAAGTTTGCGCTTTGAGTTCCTGGCTAGTCTTACCCCCCTACTGATTTGCAGCCCCTAAGAATTTCCGGCTGAGTAAAGAAATGGAACATAATGAGTGCAGAGGTAGAAGGCCCAGTGTTCCGTTTTGTGTTTCCTCATCATAGTGCCTACAAGCAGGTAATATCCCTGTATTTCAGGTTCTTCAGGGAAAAAGCAACAGTTCTCATTGAAGATCACTGACTGAAATTTAGACTATCTGGCTTCTGATTTTGATATTGCCATTAAATGGGGACAGGCCAAACAGTTTTCTCAGAACTTCATTTTCTTCATAAGTGAAAGGAATTGGTTGGATTTATTCAGCTTTTGCAAATTTGGTTTACTGGTTCAGTTTCACATGTCTCAAGAGGGTAGCTTCTACTCAGCCTCAGCTGATTGTTGTTCTAATGACATAATGTGAACGGATATTTCTGTTTTTCCAGACAAGCAAAATCTGGTGGATCTTTCTGTGCAAAATCTTCAGATTTTGAAATGTCTGCAACTAATTTAAAAATATATAAAATAAACACACTTGCACATGTATGTTTAAAGCAGTTCACAATTCTGAAGATGTGGAACCAACCTAAGTGCCCATCAACTAATGAGTGGATTAAAACATTGTGGCATATATATACCATGGAATACCATTTAACCATTAAAAGGAACAAAATAATGTCTTTTGCAGCAACTTGGAGGGAGCTAGAGGCCATTATTCTAAGTGAAGAAACATTGGAATGGAAAACCAAAAATGATATGTTCTTACTTAGAAGTGAGAGCTAAGTTATTCCCTTACATTAGAAGAAGAAATAGCTTTCATCTCCTGATTCTTCAAGTTGTCGATTAGTACAGAAAGGCATATAGAGTGATGTAATGGACTTCAGAGACTCAGAAAGAAGAGGGTGGGAGGGGGCTAGGGATAAAAAAAACTTCATGTTAGGTACAATGTACACTACTTGGGTGACAAGTCCACTAAAATCTCAAGAGTTCACCACTATATAATTCATCCACGTAACAATAAACCACTGTACCCTAAAAGCTATTGAGATAAAAATGCAAAGCAAATTGATATGTACTGTAAATATAAATTATTCATCAGATTGGTTAGTATAAAAGCCAGCATAAAAAATGTAAAATGTATTTTTGGTACATTGGGTTAAATAACATTATTAAAATGACCTATTAAAAAATTTTTTTAATAAAAATTAAGATTTTATTTCTGGAAAGGATTGGTAAGATGGGTAATAGCTGCATAATGCTTTCAAGTTCAGTTGCTGCACATGTCCCAATTCCTTAGAAATGCCTGCTTAGCTGGCTGTCATCCTGGGCTCTGAAGTAATAATATGCCAAAAAAAATAGTAACAATATGTTATGAAGCTCATAGGCTACGCCCCACTCAGATTTGGCCTTAAGGACCTCTAGTATGTAACAAGGGTTAGATAACTTCTAAGTTCTCTTCCAGCCCTAAATTTCTAAGAAGGTCAGGGTAGAGCTGAGATTGTAGCAAAGTCATATGTGGTGCCAGTGTGCAACTGCCTGGATTAGGAACCTGGGTGGCTAGATCTTGTTGCAAGAGGAACAAGGGCCTATTTTTGTTAGAGCAGCTGACTAGGTCTTTTTCTAGACCTCAGATATAATAAGAGGTAACTTAATTCCTTACCTAATTAACAGGCTGTTTAAACTCATGTTTATATTTAGAAACTCCTTTTGTTGTTTGTTTCCTTTCCTACCTTTGTTTCCTGGTAAAGTTTCATTCCTAGAATCACAGCTTTGTTTCAGCTAAACCAAGAGAAGAGGGATTTGTGAGCACAAAAGCCAAGAGAACTGAGCTGTCATTATCTTCTTGGGGGCCAAGAGTGGAGACGATATCCTCCTCTGGACCAGACTGGATTTTCCCAGACAATTCAGGAAATCCAAAGAAGTG